TATATATATATATATATATATATATATATATATAGTATATATATATATATATATATATATATATATATATATATATACAATAAAGATTCAATTCTCATAGAGAGAATAAGCGCAGTCTAAATCAACCTTCAAAAATAGAAGCCCATGTGTGTATATTCTACGATAAGGCTCATTGAACAACACAACGTCTCCAAGTGACACATTTATCCATCCTTTGCCTTCAAACCACGAATTCGTTCACTGCCATGCCCACGTGCATGTCCCGTGGTGTGCAGATGATACTCATCGAGTCTATGTGTACACACAGAACATCAGTTTCAGCTTTTGAGACCGCACGAGAGTTCGCATGCCTGAAAACTTGAATAGCCCAATCCACACCTACGTGTAGCACGGAACACTGCCCAGAGCACACATACGTACAGAAGAATGAAAAAACATGCAAATGAACATTATACACAAACATACACATGAACATTATACAGAAGATATATCGTAGGGGTAGGGTACCGGAGGAGGGGTGTAGGAGGGCTCTTAGCCCTCCACCATGTACGAACTGTCCCTTGGACATCCCTTCAGAACGTTATGCAGAAGTTTGAACATACATACACATGAACATTATACAGAAGTAAGAGCATACCTACATATGAACACTATATTATAAAAATACGTACACATGAACATAATAGAAGTATGAACATACACATACATATAAAATATGCCATTTTGTTCCATGACCTATCACTCCAACCTTCATACCCGGGATGCACGAATGCCAGTACGTGACTATCCTGTGCAAAGGCCGAGCCTGGCGTCTGAATGCGGTCAAGGAACACCATCACACGCCGTTTCTTCTTGTCAATGTGCTCGGGGTCAGTCAGGAGCCGGGAGAAGGGTGTGGTGGGCAGGGATGGTACAAACTTAGCTGTGTGGAGGAGTGCAGGAATGATAGTGTAAGTTGATAGGAGGTCTGGGAAAACCCGAGGACAGTGTGTGTGACTGTAGGGCACAATCGGTCCTAATCTGGAACTCTGGACATTTTGTTACACGTGGATAGGAGCGCTGGAGAGTACGATTTACCGTGAATACTCCCTTGAAACGGACCGTCCGCACGCTATTGCATATTAGTGAGCTATAAAGCTATGGGGTTCGATACCTAGAAATTTTCACCTGTTTACGCTATCAATATTTATTCGCCTACATAAGGTTTGCCTAACTTGTCTATCACTTAGCGTATAGCTACTGTACGTACAATGAAGCCTGCGTACATCAATGTACGAATCAATCATGAACAAGTACATGCAACGATGCCATGTGCAGTGCGCCGTCTGTTGAGATACAACGCCTAACTGCAAAACTTACACAATATAGGTCACATATTGGTTAGCTCTTAGCGCAAAATAGAAATTAAGGGCTCTCTTCGGTGTGTATTTTTATGTCCAGAAAACCTCTTTCTACAGAAAGCGATATAGATATTACATGACTCACACAGTTTATTATTCTCTACCAGCCACAGCGTCATCACACTACTACACACATTGCTGATTGTGAGTACGTTTCGTACTCGCATGCGCTCTGTTTTGTACTTGAATTGTTCAATTTATGACTTTTTTTTTGCTATCGAGAGTGGTTGAAGATGAAGTATACAATGTCTTTGGAAACAGGCTTTAAATTGTAAGTGTGTGTGTGTGAGTAAATTGCTTTATATACGTATCTATCTATACATATCTAATGAATTATGACATCTCTAATACAATGTACATGTCAGTGAATAGCACACACTACTCACCACTATAGCTAACAGACAACCCCATATCGCAATAGTACACACCTCAGGCCTATTGAACACACACCAACCGCCCACACGCGACTAACAACTAGTATACGAACAACAAACTTTTCAAAGTTGTTCTTATATCCACAACAACATACATTAGTGCGGCACATGACATATACACTTGGGCTTGATCAATGTGGGTCGCCGCATACCCGGATACTTGGCCAGCAGGTAATCATGTAGCTGCTGAAACTGTCCGAATGAGCGCACGAATCGCTTGGACGACTTGGCAACTATGCGCCCGCTTCGGGTTCTGAATGGACTGAGTAGTCAGCAGAGACGCGTTAGTAACTGTACTACGGGACATGTTTGAGTGCATGCGCACGAACCGGGGAATACCATAAAGTATAAATTATGTGAATGAAGTATGCAGGGAATGTTAATGGCAAGATGTGAATGCATGTTGATAGTACGTATCTATAGAACAGTAATATGTACGGCCGTATAATCAGATGCATAAGCATACGTATTGAGTACGTGCACATCGTAACTCGAACAACACTTCAAGAATATATACACACTTAGATACATGCAGGCAGATTTGAAGCGCCATATAAGGTACGTTAAATGCCAATAGTGCACACACTTAACTCGACCTACACACATATATACACTTACGCATAAAAATGTATGTATTTCTGTAAACAATATATATATATATATATATCATCTGTATGCTTACACACGTACATATGTGTGCACACACAGTTCAATATACACACCCACACCCATACGTACACACTCTAAAAATACACGAAACAACAGACAAGCTACGTAAACGTAGAATATATATATTCGAATAATTTTACTTAATTATATAACTTTCGCTGCAGTAGCTTCATTCTACAATATATATGTACACGCACGCAGGTCTGCACAAGCTTATACGCAGGGCTACAAACAAAATATACACAGGACATATACACACAGAGATCCACATACCCTTTGAGAGCACCCGATGCATTCTGTCGTGGTGGCGGAACATCATTGGTGTTGCCATTGCCATGGTCGACAACCACAGCCGACTTGCCCTTGCCTTCAATCTCAGCGCTTTCATTGGCACCGTGCACGCTATCGTGTGAGGGTTGGGTGCTTGCACCTGCACTCCCACTAGCACCACCACTCGGGATCGATCTTGACTGACCTTGTGCACTATCAGGATGTGCGCGTGTGCTGTTGGCATTATCTTTAAGTTCAGAGTGAGTTGTATCAGATGCATCCGCATCAGTTGCGTACTGCCTGCGCCTAAGCCCGAAGAAGATAGTCTGGGTCTCAAACTCGGCTTTGACCTTCACTATAACAGTCTCTTCTGAACGTTCATGTGCATCTGATGCTACTGCGTGTCCATCACTGTTTGTTTCTGGAGGATTTAGATGCACGTTGTTCAGGCCCTCGCTTAAATTCACAGCATCAGATGCAGATGCAGATACAGTTGTTGCCGCTCGTGTTGCACTATCGATGGTCACAGGCATAGACACCGTGACATCTATGTCAACGGATGTATCTGTTGTAGCCATTTTCAGCCTATTTCTGCTGTATCTATGTATGAAGTGTCTCCTAATGGACTCACTATTCTCTATCGGAAGGTTTCGATTGTGAGAACTTTCGTGCGTGTTGTGATGCTGTCTGTTTTTATACAGTCGTTCGTCGCTATATAACGCTCCTCACATGCAGCCAATCACAATTCAAACACTCTATCTAGACGCGTATGATATTACTACGCTTACCAGATACATCATTACATGTACTTGTATGATGGTATATACTATGTATGTACGTATATACAGGATATACTATGACTATGTGCATAAATATAAATCAAGGTATACACATAGACCGATGATGTATTTATATTCTCGCTAGAGATTACTTTTTTAATTTTTTATAAAAAAATGCAACCGTGTTGCGATTGGTGCAAATAGATACAAAAGAATTGGGATGAATCATCAATTTTTAATGGAATGAATACTTTTTACGTTTGCATTCATCAAACGTTTACTTTAGGCGAGTCCTATATATTAAATAGGGTGCAATATTTGGGTTCTGAGGTGCAATATATGACAACAAATATACCTTGTATTGTCTGATAAGCTTCCATAGTGGGACTAGACCCTTTCTCCCCACATATACGTTTAGATATCAAACCTTTCACGTTTACGTACAATCAACTTACATATGTAGTTTTACACTGAACTACCCTTCAAATATTTAACGTATAGGATTTGCATAAAAAAATTATATATCACCGAGAATGTAAATAGAAATCAATATATGTAAATAGTGCACTGATTTACGTCACCACAAGAGAGTCACAAGACAGGAATCATGAATACCAACTAATAACATGAAATTGTTGTTTTTAGCGATGTATGCAATTCCCACCGTAGTCGTAGAAGAATGTTGGGAAACGTCTGTTTGTTCAAGTATCGCCTGTGCCGAAACGCGAGACGTTCATCTGTAGTAGACCACCGTAAGGCAAAGAAGTGTGTCCTGGGGGTAAGTGGCTATGGACTAAATAAAGCATTCTGAATATATATTGTTTTGTATTACTGTCTTCCACTTGAATAAACGAAGTAGCCGTCTTTATATAAGCGCAGTAGTATGTCTCCATTGTCACCGGTGGCCAAGATAGATGTCGCTATCTCTCCTGGAGGTATGGCTTTCTCTACGTATTGCACCAACTTTTGCAGTCACGAAAGCGAAAGAACTGGCGTGTTTCTGAGCTCTGTTTGTGTTGGCCATTACAATACAAACAGGGTTATAACACAAATAATGAGCCTGACTTTGCAATTTATTCCCGCAATTGAAAGTGTGAATGTCAGCCGTAGCATGCACATGCAAATGCGATATAGGTGATGGTTTACTGAGCACTGACAGTGTTACAAATATTGACACCACGAACAGTCACAAAAGTAATTGGATTGTTGGCTAGTGATAGTATCCTTGTGACTTACCAATCGCCTGATTGACAGTAATTGTACGATGTACCTTTCATAGTAGCTTCGGTCGCCATATTGGACATAGCTAGATCCGTACCGTGAAAAGGAGATCCACCTCGATACATAGACGTATGCATTCCTATATAGAAGACGCTAAGACAATAGGTGACCTAGACTGCTTGGACATAGCTAGATCCGTACCGTGAAAGAGATCCAACTGAAAACGTATACGTATACAATCCTAAGTGGCCCAGACTGCAAAATAAGTAGAGGTGAGGGAGAAAGATCCGGGGTTGTATCGAACGGTTATAAGTTTTGGTTAGTATTAGGTGGAACGAGTCCATAGGGAATTCAATGTATCCGCCGTTATAGTAGACTCTCTGGGAAGAGGTATCTGCTGTCTTTACATGAGATAAAGATGATTGAAAGCGATAAGACAACAAGCAGATCTTCAACAGAGGAAGCGCTTTCGCAGTTGCACTACTGGAATCTAGTAGTACACGAACGGAGAAAGTCTATGCGGATCATAGGGTTGTGCTTCTCGCCATATGTGTGACATATCATCAAATGAATCCTCTACCTTCCAAATACATGTCTAGAAGGAAAGTGGTCCCTGACACAGAGCGGAGCGGACAGATATACCCCACTATAAGGTTCATATACCAACCCTCTATCACCTCTATCACACTTCCTTCGTATTGAGACACTCCGAAATCGTAGAAGGATTTGAACCTCCGACTCACCAAAGTATACCCCGGGTATATGCTTCCGAATTCTATCTACGAAGAGATATAAGGGTTTTTTGTCGATATATGTATATATATATAATTAGCAACCCTCTTTGTTTAAAATACAGAGGTGGCTATAAGCATATCCCTTGTTAGCAGAGCAAGTAAATAACAATACCAATACAAACACACATCTGAATACAGACGATGTTCGCCGCAACGACAATCCGCCGGCACACACGTGGAGCGTCATCCACGTGGGTGGTGCCTTTCACAGCCAGTACTGCGCTCTGTGCCACAGAGTTCGGTTACGGAACCATGAGTTTGGTTCAAATAAGAAGCTGGGATGGCAATCTATCGGAGCGTGTGTAGCCGAGGATACACAGCACAGCTTTGAGCCGTATATGCAAGAAGTAAGTGGATATGTTTCCACGTAATAGTGTACGTTTTGCATTACTTTAGTTTTATGTGAAAGAATTAAGTAATTATGTTTCTACGAAGTACTATACGTTTTGCACTGCTTAGCCGTATGTGCAGGGAGTAAGCGAGTGTGTGTCTATAAAGTAGTATACGTTTTGCCTTACTTTTAGTCTGTATGGTGTAGGCCAGTCTGTAGACGGCATGCAAAGAGATCTTCAAGGGCACGTTTGTGATATAATTAGGCTACGTGATGATCGTAACATATGCATGTGTGCATATTCTAAGCTTTGCACAGCTGGATGGCTATTCGCAACCGCACCCAGCCATACTTGATATCGTATTTGCCTCGGAAAGAGTCCACTGAATATTACAGGTTGACAAACCCTTGTCTAACTAAGTGGCAAATTGGGTAAACCTATCGAGAGTACACAAACTGCTATCACAGACGTTGACACCAACCCGTGGGGCGGCTCTGACTCAGATGTACTCCATAGGGTAGTATTGGCCGGTAGTATAGGTCAGTTGTAAGCAAATATGCTACCCCACATTCTAAGCCATAAACTCACAGTGCACTTCTGCTCTCTCTTTCTGTGTTATGTGAAGTTTGTTCGAAATCAAATGAAGATTCAGCATCGAATTAGTTTAGCCCGTGATCTCAAATATATCACGACATTCGTGCAAGTACCTACATGCCGTACCAGACCAACCAGGTGACATGAAGGAGCCACATTTCTCTGTGGAGGACTTCCGAGACATTGAATCCAGTGACAGTTTCTAACCTGGTTGGTGATTTAGTTTTCTCTACACATTGACCGTTGGCTGCGCCGGTGCATTCGTCTAGCCACGTGCACACACACCGCCCATACTCACAAGCGAATCCTTTCTCATCATTCCTTGCGTTAGAGCGGGCTGTTGCGTGTGTGCACCGCATGCTTCGTACAGCAGAAGTACGGAAGAAAGTTCGGTACGGGGAAGTCGTGCGGCTTTGAGACGGTACACGCCCCGTGTACACCCAGCCAGCCCACACTCAGAGCTGTGTACGAGCAGGTGATTGCGAAGTTCCCCGAGTATGTACCAGCTGAGGAAGTACACACCCAAAGCGAGGTATATTTGATTGACATGGTGCAATAAAGAATCGCAATGTCCACAAAAATGGGACCGAATTGTTCTGAAGCACGACAGACGGGTGTTGCTGTGCAGAATACGCCCAGGACAAACTGCAGCGGTCCCATGGGTACGATTGTGGGGGCGTACCTACAGAGAGCAATGAGTCATTACAGCCTTTTGATATGCATTGGCTTATCCACATATCCTGAGCCAACAGCTGATAAATTGTATTCCGCTGAGGGAACCAGTCATGATTAGCCAGCTGGGTTGCGTTGGATATACCTCCAATTGTACATGCATGTCACGTATATGTATATTCACAAGTACAGACAATTGTACGATAGATATAATCTCATAGCTGTCCCATACGTATGTATCCAGGGCCTTGTCGCGGACCTGCGTGTCCGTCTCGAAGAATTACAGGTGCAGCCTGTTAAGAGCATGGATGACTTCTGTGTAGAATTCCCACGCTTCAGCAACCTGCACTCTGATCTTCTCCGCGAGGCTTTAACCCATCCAACCGCTGACTACGGCAAAAACTATCTTCGGCTGGTAAGTTGGGCGTATATATATACTCGGTCGCAAAAATAAAAGTATATATATATATATATATGTATACACACACACACACACACACACATATATATATCACA